TGAGATAGAGAACGGAGAAACTAAAATGAAGAGAAAAAAAATCTATTTCCTGAGATTTTTTTTTATATCTTTACCGTCATTCTTCTTTATCATGATTTTCTCCCATTCCTCCTTATCAATATCCTCTTCTCACTTATTAATAATCAACTTTTACATCGTCCTTTTCTCTCACTCACATTCATTTCTCTTTCTTTATCACCGTTATCGCTATTCCTCATCTCTTTATCACAGTTATCATTCTTTCTCTCTTTATTGCCATTATCATTATTCTTCTCTAAATAACCTTTTCCCTCATTCTTCCTCTCTCTATCACAATATCCCTCATCCCTCCTCTCTTTAACACCACTTCCCTGATTCCCTCTCTCTTTATCACCAATTCTTCTCTTTATCACCATTTCCCTCATCCTTCCTCTCTTTACCACAATTTTCCTCATTCCTTCCTCACTTTGTCACCATTTCCTTCAATTCCTCATTTCCTCTCTTTATCACCACTTCCCATTCCCTCTCTTTATCACCACCTCATTCTCCTCTCTTTATCACCCTCATCATTCTTCCTCTCACACCCTTTAATCCTCATTTCCTCTATGTCACTTTCACTCATTTTCTGCCGACTCATGTTTCCCTGTTATCAACTATGCCAAGCCATTCATGCAATAAATTCTTTTTGGCTTTGCATGTCACCTCCGATTTCATGCATTTGCATATGACTGCATGTTGCGAGACGTGTATGTTTGTGGTATGTTGTGTTTTTTTTCTTCTTGTGGCGTCTGGTATTTATTGTTGTTATTATTATCAGAATTAGTATTTGTCATTGTTTTGTGTTTTGGTTTTGTTGTTGTTATTGTTATCATTTATCATTATTATTATTATTATTATTATTATTATTATTATTATTATTATTACTATTGTTATTATTATTATTATCATTATTATCATTATTACTCTCATTATCATTACTATTATTATTGATAGTATCGTTATTGTCGTTCTTATTAACTTTATTGATATTATTATTACCAGTTTTATTTCTATCATTTACTGTTGTCATTATTATCAATATCGTTATCATTACCCTCATTTTCATTACTATTATGATCATTATTAATACTACTATTATTATCATTGTCATGATCATCATCTTTATTACTATCTTTCTGGTTATTCATAGTAATATTTTCGTCATTACCACAATTATCATGATTCCATTGCTACTAGTACTGTCCTTGCTTTCATTATACTATTGCTGTTACCACTGTCCTTACTTGTATCTTTCTGGTTATTCATAGTAATATTTTCGTCATTACCACAATTATCATGATTCCATTGCTACTAGTACTGTCCTTGCTTTCATTATCATGATTTTATTATTTAAATCGTTATCATTAGTAGCATATTCATATTATCATTATCATTACTGGTAAAACCTTTTCGTACCATATAACAAAATAACTATTATCAAGTAGCGTATGCAGAGATCGGACTACATGATCTATGGAATCCAATACTTATTCCAAAAACTCTTAATTCAATCCTTTTAATCAAATCCCTTGAATTATCCTTTTTATTTGTGTTTTGTGTTACCAAACGGTATGAAACTTATTAAAAAATGTTTGATTTTTAAAAATCTTCGTTATTTTTACTATCAAAATCATTAAAATATCTCATTTTATCTTTACAAATGGATGCAATGTGTTCGGAAAAGAAAAACATTTATACACACACTCCCTTTTACTCCTCGCCTGTTATTTGTCCCAATAAATCATCGTACATTGGAGATTACAAACGAACAATAAATTCTAAAGTGCTTTTTGAACACATATCCTCCGGTCATCTTGTACAACCTGTCAAATATATCACATAAAAGTTAATTTTGCTTTTGATGTTAAGTGAATGTTCAACGTTTCGGAACACTTTCGAGACGAACAATTCCTTCTTCGAGATTACGCGGGAAAAACGAACGGGATTTTTTTTTTTTTTTTTTTTTTTTTTTTTTTTTTTTTTTAGCTCGTTAGCGTTTTTTTTATGTATTATAATTTGACTTTGGAAAGCTGTTTTTTCGTATTTATTTAAGAATTGGTTGTTATTCTGATTTCGAATTGAATTCTGTCCTGTGTGATTTGATTTCGTGTTTCAGTGCCTTTACAACTGATATTTTTATGGTCTAAATGCCAGTTTCACTCGCAAATGGGGAGATACAGAGCTAAATAAGTATTTACATTAAACAACTACCTTGTTCTCTAGAATGGTGGCTTCGATGGATTTTAAAAAAAGAAAAAAGAAAAAGAAAAAAAAAAAACAAATCTTGCTCAAAACGCATTCTTTCCGTACCTCACTTTTGTAATTAGAGTTCCAGAGAGTAAAATTCCTTTAGACGAGTAACAAAATCCATATCCCTTGCACCATCGTCCTCAAAACCGTAAAATGTTGCAATGTTTACTTCACACCCACGCTGGACATCGTCGAGAAATTGCAAAAATCACACCAGAGTTAAGAGTGACCAACATTTCAAAATACGAGATGTATTAATATTATAATTCCCTCATTCCTCCTCTCTTTATCGCCATTTCCCTCATTCCCTCTCTCTTTATCACCATCATCATTCTTCCTCTCACACCCTGACATAGAGGAAATGAGGATTAAGGGGTGTGAGAGGAAGAATGATGATGGTGATAAAGAGAGAGGGAATGAGGGAAATGGCGATAAAGAGAGGGGGGGTGAGAGAAATGGTGATAATACATTCTCTCTTCCTCTCTCTCTTTCTCTCGGAGCCATATCAATCACATCCTTGTTATTAATATTCAATATTTTCAATAACTGTGCTAAACATCAAAGGTCATGTAGCACAACTTCTTGTTAATGACAACCTTTGTTAATCTCAATCACATCCTTTTTATTAATATTGTTTTCAATAACTGTATAAACATCAGAGGTCATGTAGCAATACCTGTTACTGACAACCTTGTCAATCAATCATCTTGTTATTTTTCTAACGTTTCCAATAACTGTAAACATCAGAGGTCATGTAGCAAACCTGTTACTGACAACCTTTGTTAATTTCAATCTCTGTCAACCACAATCACATCCTTATTAATAATATTCAACGTTTCCAATAACTGTGCTAGACATCAAAGGTCATGTAGCAATACCTGTTACTGACAAACTCTGTCGACCTCAATCACATCCTTATTATTAATATTTAACGTTTCCAATAACTGTAGTAAACATCAAAGGTCATGAAGCACAACTTCTTGTTAATGACAACCTCTGTCGACCTCAATCACATCCTTGCTATTAGTATTTAACGTTTCCAATAACTGTAATAAAACATCAAAGGTCATGAAGAGCAACCTCTTGTTAATGACTACCTTTGTCGACCTCAATCACATCCTTATTATTAATATTTAACGTTTCCAATAACTGTAGTAAACATCAAAGGTCATGTAGCAATACCTGTTACTGACAATCTCTGTCAACCTCAATCACATCCTTGTTATTAATTTCTAACGTTTCCAATAACTGTGCTAGACATCAAAGGTCATGTAGCACAACTTGCCAATGACAATCTCTGTCAACCTCAATCACATCCTTATTATTAATATTCAACGTTTTCAATAACTGTGCTAAACATGAAAGGTCATGTAGCGCTACTTGTTACTGACAACCTCTATCAACCTCAATCACATTCTTGCTATTAATCTTTAACGTTTACAATAACTGTGCTAAACATCAAAGGTCATGTAGCAATACCTGTTACTGACAATCTCTGTCAACCTCAATCGCATCCTTATTATATTTAACGTTTCCAATAACTGTGCTAAACATCAAAGGTCATGTGCGCTACTTGTACAGACAACCTTTGTTAATCTCAATCGCATCCTTATTATTAATATTTAACGTTTCCAATAACTGTGCTAAACATCAAAGGCCATGCAGCACCGCCCCTTGTCATTGACCTCTGAGAAAACAAATGGCACCGTCAAATAAAATTCATACGATGTCTTTCGAGTCCTCTTTCTTATTCTCCCAGATGGGTTGGGACGTAGGGAGCTCGAGACACACGCCCCTGTCACTCTTGTCATTGATTCCTGACAGTCACTGCATTGTGTCATAAGCTGGGTGGTGTCTGTAGGTAATTTTATCTTCGCAGGATATTCTGAATGATGATGTAATAGTAATAGTAATAGTAATGATGCTCATGAATCCATTTCTAAAGTTGTGTCTGGAGTTCCTTTGGGTTGTATTTGAAGGCTCTTTATTTTCGATATTTTTCTTTCGATCTTTCCCTTTTCTAATTGGTAATTCATTTTTCGTCGATGATATTCTGATAATCTATCTTCTCCAGTAAAAAAAAAAAAAAAAAAAAAAAAAAAAAAAAAAAAAAAAAAAAAAAAAAAAAAAAATCATCATTAAATAAACTATATCAATAATTCTTTCGTTACAGATAATTCTTTCGAAAATTTCTGAATTACAACCAAGAGACAATCGGGCCTACATCTAACAGGAAAAAAACAAAACAAAATAAACAACAGCAAAAACTAGACTAATGGTAGTTTTCTAGTCACCAGTTAAGCACAGAAACTGCCCACTTGGACACTAATCTGATGCTTAGTTGTACCCGTAGGAGGTCACTGTTAAAACCAGACGTACTTTTGAGATAAATATGCAAATTTCGAACATCTCTTTAAACTTTCACAAATGCTCAAAAACAAACAAACAAATGGGAGGACGTAAAAAAGGCACGATGAAACATGAACTAACTTTCTCTTGTTTTCAGTGATTACATATCGTTCTCCTTTTTGACGTTTGACAGCTCTGGCACTCTTATCATAATATTTCTAATGCCTTATCTCTCTCTCTCTCTCCCTCCCTCCTTCCTCTCTCTCTCTCTCTCTCTCTCTCTCTCTCTCTCTCTCTCTCTCTCTCTCTCTCTCTCTCTCTCTCTCTCTCTCTCTCTCTTTCTCTCTCTCTCTCTCTCTCTCTCTCTCTCTCTCCTCTCTCTCTCTCTCTCTCTCTCTCCCCTCTCTTCCTCCTTTCCTCTCTCTCTCCTTTCTATCTCGCCCTCCCTTCCTCCCTCTCTCCCATCTCTCTCTCTCCCTCCCTCCCCACTCTTTCCCTTCCTCTCCTTCTCTCCCTCTCTCTCTCTCTCCCCCTCTCTCTCTGTCTCATAAATCAAACCTGGAATTTAATGCCATACTGGTGGTTCAGTACGATTTGCAAATTCCATGAAATCGCGGAAAATGCCAACCAGCTCTCCCGGTCGAATCTTCTAGAAAAAATTCCACTGCGTTAAGACAATCAGCTGACTTGAGGCAAATCCTAAATCTTCACTTACCTGTGTCTCGAGGATTGCGAAGAACGTTTATTAGTTCGATCACGTCTCGTCCACTTTTCTTCTGGGTCACATACACGCGCGCGCACACACACACACACAACACGACACACACACACACACACACACACGCACGCACACACACACACACACACACACACACACACACACACACACACACACACACACACACACACACACACACACACACACACACACACACACACACACACACAACACACAAACACACACACACAACACACACACACACACACAACACACACAAC